TATATATATATATATATATATATATATATATATATATGTTAGTTTGTGACAGTCATATACATAACTCACTAATTAAAATAGTTGTCACTAAGAATTAAACGAAATTCTTGATTTACTCGAAATTTCGACCTCAGAAATAGCGTTGCTGTTGAAAAATATGGAAGTGGGGAATTTCCGGAAAATTCAAGAACAAACCTGGACGGAATAAGTAGAAGTGACTTCAAGCCTGCGAATACGATACTCCAGCCGGTTGATCCTGAGATGCTGGAGTGTTAAGCAACCCGCAATACACAACAATACAAATGCAGCGGCAACTCGCAATGCAATATTTATCGAATGTCGGTTAATTTGTAAATGATAATTAGACCCGAAAAACTGCCCACTCTCCTCTTCGTTGGCATCAGCATCATGGTACCGAATGTATGAACCAGGACCGGTCACTCGACTGTGCTGCATGTTCACAGCAATCACTGGCGCTTGAGAGGTGGACGAGGACGAGGAAAAGGAGGGAGTTGCAAGCAGCGCCGTGCGACATCGTTCACCTTTGCAGCAGTCATCATCTAACACCTGCATGTTGGCATCCAAGAACTGAACCTGCGTAGAGTAAAATTTTAGGATTAATTTCATATGAAAATACTGTACGGAAGAAAAAAGAACGATGCATCAAACAGGGAGCATGACCATGCGTTTTGCTCGGGATTTTGAGGTTACGCGGTAAACGAACACGCAAATATATGCAAAAGATCACTGCACTACAGCAAGATGATTTTTATTATCCTATCAAGTTATAATCCCGCTCCATGTAGTGCGGATTTCGCAGTGAAATGGAGACCAAGAATTTCGAGTTCGCAGTTTCATTCGATTTTCGAATCGGCAAATTTTTGAGGTTGGATTCATATGAGATCAGAGAAGACAGACTGAGTCCTCAATATTTCGGCTTCTCAGCTTCCGTCATTCTAAAGCTAAATTTCCCCAACAAACACAAACAGAGTTGGTATAGCTACAATGCGTTTCAGCAAACGCATAAATAACGGGTCGTTCTTCAAATAGTTACTGTTTGTTGAGAACTGTAAAATACTTGCAGCAGGGCCAGTTTGGAGCTGTTTGTGGCCGATACTAATTATATATTCAGTACCGCAAGCCGATTGTTTGCCTAATGACACTGTCCGTTCCCGGTCCCCTACTCAGTGAATTAATATTCATCCCACTTACAGTAAAAACGTCCTTCCGCTCCTGAATTCTGCACGTTTCCGCGTTATTACGATGGGCTTGATTTTAAATTTCGGATCAGCTCATAAAAATGTAACAAATTAAAGCCGCAGACAAAATCAAACTAGTTATAAACAAATGGTATGTAAATTTTGGAACGGAGAGAAAGTGAGGAGAAGTGGCAATTACCGGTATACAATAAAACCGACGTTTGTTCACGGATGCTGTTGTACAGCTGACATAAAAAAAAAAAACTGAGATAAAAAATAAAAAATCACTTCTGCTGCAAAAATTAATAGAATATAGTGTGCAAACTGCAACTGCAACAAATCACAGTCAACCTATCAATACGATCAAGAGTATCTCAAAAAGCAGATCGAAAAAGTTTGTAAAAATGGATATAAAATTTTTAACAGATGCTGCTCACTGAACAGCAGCGAACAACTATGATACTTTTCGAAAGATTTCAGTGCTGTGTTCGTCTGTGTATATGTACGCATATGTGTGTGTATGTGTGTATTAGAGGGCTCGAAAAGATGCAAATATTTCAAAATGCTAAAAATATAAGAAGCTCACAAATTGAAATCATTCGGCATTTTAGGGCTCGGTTGGACAACAGCGAGTTTTTTTTTTTTTTTTTTCAAAAAAACCAACCGAAACTTCGCCCTGGAATCTATCAAAAGTCAGTCAAAACTTTCGAGTCTCTCTGTATGACGATAATCACAATTATTCAGGACAATTTACACTTGTTACTTTCCACCTGCTTCATCGCGCTATTCCTCTTCCACAATCATAAATTGTATTGCTGCTGTCAATTAATATGCTTATTCAGTTATTTCATCATTACGAGCAAACATAAAGCATGT